TATTATACTTACTCATGCATTATAATTATGTTTAAAAGATCAGAATATTCATAACTTCTTATTTTGTTTCATAAATAGTTCTTTAATATTCGAAACAAATTCCATATCTGCTTCGTCTGCCATCGCCATGTTTACTCGTCCCAATCTACATGCTGCACGGCATTGCCGTCCCTCCTGGCAAAATAATAAGCAAGCGAGAAAAATTAAGGAGAAAATAAGAGGGTAGGAACATCGTTGTCATAAGCTGGATACAGTGACACTTCCATATATGGCACAAACGTATCCATAACTTCCATATATGGCACAAACGTATCCACGACGCGTTTTATTACGTTTTATTTGACGTAGGGATGACGTGTAATGCTGCTTCCCGCCTATGACGATTTGAATTAGTCATGTGATACAAGATTGAGAAAGCTGATTCGCCCAGAACGATGACACGCCCACGAAACGCCTACAATGTTCCTACCCTCTTATTTTCTCCTTAATTTTTCTCGCTTGCTTATTATTTTGCCAGGAGGGGCGGCAATGCCGTGCAGCATGTAGATTGGGACGAGTAAACATGGCGATGGCAGACGAAGCAGATATTGAATTTGTTTCGAATATTAAAGAACTATTTATGAAACAAAATAAGAAGGTATGAATATTCTGATCTTTTAAACAAATTATAATGCATGAGTAAGTATAATACCATTTCTAACTTTATATTTAACAACACTACACCTGTCCTATTGCCCTTGAGATGTTAGTGAAGTTTTTCCTACAATTTAATTTCCTTGATCGTCGTCTTAAAAATGCAAAATCATCAGTTGAAATTTCACTCGTCTTGTTTTTTCAAATTTTCGAATTTTTGTAAAATATCACGTGCGCCAGCAATTTCTCTGCAAAGCGGCAGCAAATTTCCCAGCTGCTGCTAATGCTTCTCTTCCCCGGGTGTAAATAGCCGGGGGGAATTAGTTCCCTCGCACGGCGCTTCGCGCCGTCGGCTCGGGGATGAAACAAGACAGCGTATTATTTCAGTGTTTCTTTATTGATTACACTTTTTATTATACTAAGCAAAGTTATTTACATGGCAGAATTTGGAATCATTTTATTTCGAACTCAAAGTTTATCGATAAAGGCAGTTTAGTTCTATATTAAAAGAACACTTTCAAACGTTTTGCGAAGCGTTTGTGGTTGAATTTTACCTTAAATTGAAGCTTATATTACGTATAATAACATACCTACTGGTTACTGTAATTACATTAAAAGCCGATCGCTGTGTAAAAATATGAAACAAGACAGCGTATTATTTCAGTGTTTCTTTATTGATAACACGTACTTTTTATTATACTAAGCAAAGTTATTTGCATGGGAGAATTTGGAATTATTTTATTTTGAACTCAAAGTTTAATCGATAAAGGCAGTTTAGTTCTTCTGTAAAATAACATTTTTAAACGTTTTGCGAAGCGTTTGTGGTTGAATTTTACCTTAAATTCAAGCTTATATTACGTATAATAACATACCTAACATATATATGTTTAGGAAATTGATAATTTTGTAATTAAAAGTGATATTTATAGGGGATTTTTCATTTGTTAAAAAATTATCGTGTTACCATTACAACTACTTAAAATACTTCACGTTCGGAAAATAAAAAGGTTTTGTCTGCAAGGCAAGGGTTTCTGCATGCATGTATTTTCTAGTTTCTAGAGATCATAACACGTGAATACAAACATGGAATTCACTATATTCATATTTTTAATGATATGCTCTATAAGTCTAAATTCCTTTTAGTATTCCTTTGATATACAACTCTTCTGAAAACTTTAATATTATCAAGGTTTATAAACAACTTAATATTAGAATTGAGACTCTCTTCAGGTATTTTAATACTACAGTAGCAATTAATACACAGTACATTGTAATTGTTTTTGTTCTTGAAAATTGCCCTTTCCACGCGCTCTTTCAACCATTAGAAACATAATAGCGTTAAACGGCTAAATTATGCTGGAGGAACCACAAATGTCTCTACATTTAAAGCTTTTTCAAACTGAGACAGGTGAATGGCAAGATTACAATTAATTGTGACATTTTTCTTCCACAACAGCACTCTTCGCGGCTCCCGCCGGCTCTATACTGACCCTGTTTCACACGCAATATTTTCCTTATTCAGTCGCTAACACACCTTTTGTATCCCACTATGAAGAACATCAACATTTCCACCAAAACCCCTAAAAAATAATAATTTTATTGACAAAACAATAAAATATTTCAAACAATTTGTTTTGCTTTTGGCAACGCATGCGCAGTTCGGTCGACATACAGTTTTCTGCACGTCTGAGATGGATTATCCCAGAGCCTCCGTTTCCTTCCCAAGGATCGCAGGCTCGGGGAAAGAGATTGGCTATTGCGCAGCGAAAGGGCGTTCTGGTTCCACTAATGTGGGTGTGCGTAATTCGAACCCCACTCCTTACAGAGAATTTTAAAATTATTTCGTGAGGCCGTTAAATTCTTAATCCCGAGGATGACTACAAACCAGTCGAACGTTGATTTTTCTTCAATCCATTGTTGCCGCCCAGGATCGAAATGAGGACCTTGCGCGTGTTAGGCGAACGTGATCACCGCTACACTACGAAACCTGCATGCCGATAAATGTTCGCCAATGGCTAAATCATTCCCAGATGAGAAAGTTTTACCTGGAAGAAAACTTCTTGATATATCATGGAAAATCGCTGTGTCGATGTAATTAAATTTTAAGTAATTAAATGCTAATCAGCTAAAAAACATCTTCGTGTTGTCAGTTTAAAGCAGCACATTGACAGTGAATCTCGCGTTCTCCCCATCACTCAATCTTGAGATCAATCGAGGGAAACAGCTGTCATATTTATTGCTTCGTTAAATATTGGGCGATAGGGCAGATCTCGACTGCCCGTCAATGCATTAATCAGTGTTTAGCATGAAACAGGTTTTAGAGAAGATTATCCTTGAACAGGTAATTAATAATGCGCAAGTTCTTCTCTCTTCGATGGCGAAAACTGGGGGAAATGGAAGCAATAGAAGGAAAAGTTGATTGTGCAACCCGTATCGCGCGTCACAAATTAACGGTGTAAAAAATTTGGTTAACCTTTTCACAATCGATCATGTACGCAATTTAAAATTTGATAATAAACAGCCTGGCTTCGCAACACATTTACCGTGTTTCCGCCAAGGTTGGAACTGGGGACCTTGCGCGTGTGAAGCGCACGTGATGAGCAATATTCTACACAAACTTGGCTGATGAAACACGAGCTCTGTGCGTTGCTGAATTTTGCTATTTTTATTTTCGGTAATAAAACACCTAATGCATGCTTCTGATGACCGCTACACTACATAAACAAGCGCATGCTTGGAACCCTTTGCAAACTTCCCCAGTTTCAAACGTTCAAATTTACTGAAACTTCATTCATTTGATTCTCCCGCAGAACCCAATTTTGATTCTTCTGTTTAAGCAATAGAAGGACCACTGATGTGCGAGGAGAGAAACGATGTAGAGTTCGTTGCAGTCGGATATATTTTCTGGTTTAAATGAAATTATTTTTCTCCATTATTTAAGAAAGGAAAATGACGTAAAGAACAGTAGGCACAAAGTTTGTCAGCTGTCGGGATGGCCGAGCGGTGTAAGGTGCCAGACTCAAGTTTCAAAACTTGCTCCGCTAATGCGCTACCAAAGGGCGTTCTGGTCTACTAATGTGGGCATGGGTTCGAATCCCACTCGCGACAGAGAATTTTAAAATTATTTCGTGAGGCCGATGAATATATTGGTGCAATTCTTAATCCTGAGGATGACTACAAACCAGTCGAAACGTTGATTAAAAACCAAAATGTTGTTTGTTTTCCTTCAATCCATTGTTTCCGCCCAGGATCGAACCGGGAACCTTGCGCGTGTTAGGCGCAGGAGATGGCCGCTACACTACGAAACCTGCATGCCGATAATTGTTCGCCGATGGTTAATTCATTCCCAGATGAGAAAGTTTTAGCTGCGAGAAAGCTTCTTCATATATCATGAAAATCGCTTTGTCCATCTAATTAATTTATAAATAATTAGATGCTAATCAGCTAAAAAATTTCTTCGTGGTGTCAGTTTGAAGCAGCACATTGACAGTGAATCTCGCGTTCTCCCCAACACCCAATCTTGTGATCAATCGCGGGAAAAAGCTGTCATATTTATTGCTTCGTTAAATATTGGGCGGTAGGGCAGATGTCGGGTGCCCGTAAATGCATTAATCAGTGTTTAGCATGAAACAGTTGTTAGGGAAGATTATATCGTGAATTTGCCTCCCAAGTGTCCACATCTGCAATGATGACAACATCTCCAACTTTTGGTGTAAATCCACGTTTGGTCTTCTTTGTACGGTGTATGTCGCGTAAACTCCTCAAGTATTCATTTGACCATCTTTTCCATAGTGGGGTTTTGCGTTTCAAAAGATGCTTGGCACGTCCTCGTAAATCACCATCTTCGACATGGTGCGGTTCCATTTCGGGTAGAATGTTGCTATTTGCGAACAGCATGGAGTTGGGAGTTAATACGGGAAATTGCAAGTCATCTTCAACATAGGTTAAAGGTCGATTGTTCAATGTTACCTCGACATCTAGGAGAACCTCTTCCAACTTTTTCCATCTCAGCATGCCGTTTGCGATGCATTTTCCGAGAGCGGATTTTACCAGTCCTACAATGCGTTCAAAATTTTCCACCCCACCAAAGGGCGCGGCTGAGGTTGAACTTCCACCGTATCTGTTGCTTGCCCAAATAGTCTTGGAACCTTTCGTCATAGATCACCATTTGGATCCACTTTGTTGCCGCGACAAAAGTACCACCGTTGTCGGAATATATTCTTTCGGGTCTTTCTTTTCGTGCCACAAACCGCTTAAGGCTCAACAAGAATTCTGCTGTTGTAAAGTTGGGTAGAAGATCAATCATAACACCTCTGGTTAAACTACAGGCATACAGAAGAATATGTGACTTTCCTTCTCGTGTCTTAGCTGTTCGATATTGTAAGGGTCCAGCAAAATCTACGCCTAACACCTGGTAAGCATTCTTTCCTTCCGTGCGTGTGTTGGGTAAGATACCGGGTGGTGGTGTGGCATATGACATAGCTGTCAACCTACTGCATCCATAACAACGTTTCCTAACATTTTTACGAGCTGCCTTAGCCGGGAAATCCAATAACGTGCACGAACGTGGCCCATTGTTAAACCAACTCCGCCATGTAATGTGTGTTGATGTGCTTCTTCGACGATTCTCTGTGAAATGAGATGATGGTCAGGGACATAAATTGGATACTTTCCTTGAATACATCCGCGGCATTGTAACAGCTTGTCTTTGTCAGGTTGTAAGTTCAAAGCCACTCGATCGATGTCAAGGTCACAATTTTCCTGAGCTCTCTTAATGTAGAACTGACGCTGCCGGGCAAGTTCGCTAGTGGTCAACGGTCCTATCACGCGGGATCGTCCTTTTTTATGAAGGGCATTATTTGCAAATCTTCGCATCCAAGCGCACACACGAAGAGCTTTCTGCAAGGGAAACTTCTTTAAAACTTCATCAGCTTCATTACCATCATTCACCGCAACAGCAAGAATACTTTTCACTAGTTTCGCTTCAGCATTACTTTCAACAGTGGGTTGAGGCAGAGTGTCTCTGGCCAACGTTCAGGGTCCTTTAGCCAATTTGGTCCCCACCACCACAGCTCTGCATCACTTAAGCCACCAGCTCTGCTTGCACAATCCGCCGGGTTATCACTCGTTGGAACATGTCTCCAAATCAGATCTTGGTGGTCATTGATTTTCTTGACACGATTGGCCACGAATTGTTTATAATCCCCATTTTCTTTGATCCAGTGTAGAACCACTGTGCTGTCAGACAAACTATAACTACTTTCAACAGGAAATCCATTCAACACTTCGCTTACATTCACTGTCAGGTTGGTGGCCATATGTGCTGCCACCAACTCTAAACGCGGGATGGTTATTTCTTTCTTCGGTAATCTAACTCTTGCTGCTACCAAGCCTTGGTTTGTGCCCGATGCCTGCTCAACGACTGCATACACACACGCTGCTACCCCGTTTTTTCTGGCGTCTCCAAACGAATGTATCTTGATGCTTTCGATTGGCTCTCTGTGGACTACTAACGATCTTGCAACTTCGACATCAGCCGGCAGACTATTCTCGCACTGATTCCACTCTTTGATCAGATTATCAGGCATTGGAGCATCCCAGGCTATCTTCGCATCACATTGTGGACCGGTATATCAGGTTACCTCGCAACGATAATGGTGAAATGAATCCCAATGAGTCATATATTTTTGCAAGCTTAGCTAAAATACCTCGTTTGGTTTTCACGGTCTCTTCTGTTGGTAGGGTTACATGAAGTGTATCTGACACTTTTGACCATTCGAGACCAAGTAGTTTGCAGCCTCTCCCATAGGTAGTCCCCAACTGTGTCTTGCATAAGTAAATATCCCTTCTGGCAGGTTTTCTGACTCTAAATTTTGATAATTTGAATACCATTTGTGAAGGTTAAAACAGCCCTCTTTAAACATTTCTGTTATCTCCTCTTTGAACTAACGAACTTCCGCCACTGTTGTAGATCCAGAGATCAGGTCATCAACGAACAGTTCATCTCGCAGTTTAGCTACGATGTCCGGTTCTCGGTCCTCCCTGCAGGTGATCAAATGCATGTCAAGAACTCCCCCCCCCCAAGAATGGGGAGGGAGCTAGACCAAAAGGCACTCTAGCAAATTTCAAAATTTCAACGTCAGACTGTCCGTCTGTCTGCCAATGGAAGCGGAGGGCATCACGATCGGGTTCCCTCCCTACCGGGGGAAATCGTCCTCTGACTAATACATTCCAAAGTTTATTTGTCAGGTGGGCCGTGGGTTTAGACATTCATTAATTGAAGGCGCTGCGTAATGAGCTCTAGCCGATGCATCATAGACAATCATGAGCTTCGTTGATTCCGCAGAAGTTCGCAGCACTGGTCGGTGGGGGATATAAAACTCTCTACCTTCGCTGGGATTTCTCACACTTTCAATAATCCCTTATGTCTTTTGCTCTTCCAGAATTTGGTTATACTTAGATCTCAGTCCCGCACGATCAAGTCTACTTGTCAAACCTGCCAGGCGACGTAAGCTGCTAGCTCGATTGTTTGGTAATGGGGGATGATTTCCACGCCATGGTAACCATGTCTCCTATCGTCCAGTTTTATCCCGAGTAAGTTGCTCCTTGAACTCATCGCAGACAATACTCTGGCTGTTGGTTGGTCTATCTTCTAAGCCCAAGACGTCAAGCCGACATAGTTCTTCATAGTCAGCTTGAGATGTCTGAGCTAGAAGCATACTTGACACATCCATGGATTCCTTGCCTGGGGACATAATAGTCTAACCTAACCGAGTCAACTCGGCTACCGTTTGACCTGGAAGACCAACTCTAGGAGGTTTCTCTGTCTTCAGCTTCACAAACTCACTCGCCCGGAGAATAATATGAACAGGAAGTTTATCTTTTAGGTGATGATCTTCTATAGCAACTCCTTTTAAATGTAAGTGGTTCTTAATGATCTCTTCATTCTTTGGGTTATCCAAAAGTAACAGTTCCTTCTTCTTAACTTTTGTTACGAACGAAAATTTAAGTAGTGAATCGTTACAATCAATCTCTAATGACTATCAGTTCTTAATGCTCAATATTGTTCGTTCCTTCGTGCTCAGGCAGGTTCTTCTTGTAGTAGTTTTTTAAAGTTCACTTCAGCCTTTAAGTCTTCGTTGTCTAAAGTTTGTCTTCTTTGTCCGTGCTGTTTCGTTTTGAGTTTTAGTAGTTCATCATTTAAGCTTTACTTCGTCTACGTCCACTGTGGACTTTCACTGTGCACGTCCTTTTATACTAACGGTCGAGGAAATCTTTGTACACGCGATCTAACAAGTGGTATGATCTGTATCCAGCCAATCAACGTTGAGCTATGGAAGAGTGGGTTGGCGTTGCTAGCTGGTTCCAGCTCTCACATTCTGTTTATTTAAGGCGTTGTCGCACTTGTTGAGTCGGTTCGCTGTTCAATCGATCAATGTTAAAAAAAGTTCACAACTTAAAATACTTATCAAAATATCATAGTAAAAACTTCAAACTATACCTATGAGAACCTTACTTTACCTACTAACCTAAACTTACTCGTAATTTTATCGAACTAGGTTTCTATGACGTAATATGTAGATATCGTGACCGAGTGTTCTCTAGCTTGGGATGACTCATTTTTTACGTCTGAGTCTGTCCACGTGAAAAGGTCGATGTTCATGAGACCCAAGGCAGCTGTCCTGTTTAAACAGATCTGCCCACAAGACAAACTATAGGAAACAGGTCAATCAAAACATAACATTTTCACATACACAACTGCAGCTAGTCTAACAAACTGTCGCAGCCTAATGGAAAAAATAATGAATGTTTTCCGAAGAATCAAATATTTACGTTACTTTGATTTGTGGCAAAATATCCATTATCTCTTCTCATTATGCTTAAAGTAATATTTGCTTGAACAAACATTTCACCGGCTCTCAAGCAAACATTTTCTGTTATTTTATTTTTTAGCCTAAAATTTTAGGTATAAGTGATAATGTTTCGTAACACTTCAGTTACTTCCACCGACAAGGAAAAATCACAAGTGAGCCCCCCAATTTGAATAGTTGATAGTTCAACCTCTCTTCTTGTTGTTCTAAGCATTATGTCAATCTTCCTTACTTCTTTCTTGGAGCATCTTTTGAGAATCTGATCTAATAATGCAGCCGACACATAGGAGCTCCCTGCACCAGTGTCTAATAGACCCAGACACTTGAACCCACCTACTTGTACAATAACCACTGGATGAATGACATTTGTACTATTACTAGCTCCGAGGAATTGTTCCGTCACCTGATCACAAATTGATGTGTGATATCTCCGTTTGCATTTTTGACATCCTAACTTACTCTGGCACTCACTGACACGGTGCTGTGCCCCTGTGCAATTAAAGCACAGTCCCTTTTGAGCTAGAGTTTTCTTTCGTTCTTCTCGGGTTTTGACTTTCGAACAGTTTGTCCCTTTATGCGTGCTTTCTTCGCAGTAAACACAATCTGGTCGGGCGCCGTGATTTCTGTTCTGCATCTCGAGTATGGTAGAACCTTGAGTAACCATTTCCTTTCCCACTGCGCTGAACATTCCCTTTTACATCATCCAATCTATCAAGGGTATCAAGGCTCTGAACATTGTACCTAAGCTGTTTGTAAAGTTCATTGACCTTCGCTGGATCCTTGCCATTAATAACTGGTAAGCTCATAATGTTAACCACATATGTATTTACAACATCAGCCATCTGTCCGTATTATGATTCCAAAACTTCTTTCGCCTTGTCATAACCCGCTTCGGTGAATGGAAGACCATCTATATCTGTCCGAACTTTCCCATCCAACAGTTCTTTTAAATAAGAACATTGTGTTAAAATCGGAATTTCTGTGGAGTCAATTTCAGATTTAAACTTTCCCCAAAATGGGAGCCATAAGTCCATTTTTCCATTGAACTTCGTGATGGGTAGTTTGGGTAATTTTGCACCAGAGTTTGGTTTACTGTGTTCATTGTTTTCACCTTGTTTTGTTTTCTCTAACTATTCCTGAAATTTTGCCTTTTATTCAAATAACTCAAGTTCAAATGCCAACTTTCTTTCGTGTACGTAAGCTGTTTTGGCTTCTCTTTCATCATCATCCATTTTCTTGATCTGTTGATCTAATAATTTGATATCCTGATCTGCTTTCTCAAGTTCGCATTCATATAGTTTGCTCCACTCAGCTATAGCCCCTTCGTCTTCACCTTTCGCAAATTTTTTTCTTCCATTGTTTCCTTTAGTTCGTTTGCTGCTTTCGATATATTAATAATGCTTTGTTTTTGACGTTCAGATGCTTGTCGATCTTGTTTCTCTAATATTTCACTCGTTTGTGTGCTCCTAAATTTAAGTTCTTTATCTTGCTCGATAGTTCAGCTATTTGTCTCTCCATATTGTGTCACAAATTTCAATATATAGTTGAATACTCACATTTCTTTACGTTGACAAATTCAACTCGAAAATTCCGCCGAAAAGGTGCCACTGTATCTGCCTCGTACCCAGGCGTCTCTTTGTAAAAACACATTGATGCGCATATGACGAGTTTACATGAAGTATTGTAGAGGGGAGAGATGGCGAAGGGGCTGATGGGAAGAGTGCACTTGAACTGCGAGATGCCTGGCAGTTCTTGGTCGATTTCTTAAAAGAAAGTCGATTTCTTGCAAGTTGTGCTATTTCGTTGTCGTTTACGATTTTTTGCTACTTGTTTTTGTTGAATTGACTAATGTTAATATGTATTCTGCTGTCATCCGGGCGTGAATTTATGCTGTTATTCTTGGTATATATGACATATCCCTTATTCAAAGTCCATGGAAATTCCAATATTAACATGTCAACAACAGAAGCGTTGAAGAACTAGACTTGCAGGAACTAGATTTGCAAGCTATAACTATATAAAGGTACAAACTATAAAATTGCACTGTTGTAATAAATATTTCAAACTTTACGGCTGTGAACTTTTATTTACTTAGGCTTTTGTTTACAGTATACATTTAATAGAACTTGCCATTGGCATTGTGATCGACCGATTGAACTTTCAGTTAAAGAAGTTATTAGTACAAAAGCAATTATATGACTTTCTAATAATTTCTCTGTTACTGTTTTATGCTAAGCAACTGAGAGCATTCTATTATTCTCCATGCAATACCGAATGACATTTTCGAAATATTCGCACGGTTAACTTGCCATGTTATTTATTCATAATTATTCGCGCATTTTGCATGTCATCAAACATCTACAAATGTATTATTATTGCCAATGGCGTTCATTTCAACGCTTCATCACAAAGTAAGGTTTTACACACAGAGTATATGACGATATGGTAACTTTTTGTATTAAATGCCATGTTTTCCCACCATGACAGTATACAAGAACTGCCAGGCGCTCCCCAGCACGTACCCTTCCCAATAGCCCTTTCGCGCGTCGGCTGCCTACCTGAATACGTCATCTAAGCGCCTGGGTACGAGGCAGCCACTGTATCGTGAATTCACCTCCCGAGTCTCCACGCTAAGTCACAAAATGTTATTGCTAAATCACAATTGTATAATCCCTTTAATTAATAAATCTCAAAATTTAACAAACAAAATCTACCCTCTGACGTTTAACGTTCTTAGTACGTTTTTCCCGTCGCCATCTTTGAACCATTATATATTTTGTTACATAGCGTACTTTTATCATCTAGCCCGCGAACGGGTAATTTACCCCTATCTATCCCTACACCGGAAAATCTCCAACAGATTACGCTAGAAAAGGTTATAAATAATGCGCATATTCTTCTCTCTTCGATGGCAAAAACGGTGGAAATAGAAGCAATAGAATGAAAAGTTGATTGTGCAACCGGTATCGCAAGTCACAAATTAACGGTCTTTAAATATTGGTTTACCTTTTCACAATCGATCTTGTACGCTAAAGTTAAATTCGCAACACATTTACTATGTTTCAGCCCAGGCACGAACTGGGAAACTAGCGCGTGTGAAGCGCACGTAATGATCACTACACTACAGAAATGTGGCTGGTGAAGCACGAGTTCTGTCCGTTGCTGAAATTTGCTCTTTTCATTTTCTGTGAATAAAATACCAAATGCATGCTTCTGCCCAGGATCGAGCTGGGGACCTTGCGCGCGTAAAGCGCATGTGATGACGGCTAAACTGCAGGAACAAGCGCAGGCTCGTTACCCTTTGCAAACTTCCCTAGTTGCATACGTTCAAAATTGACCAAGCCAATTTTGATTCTTCTCTTGAAGCAATAGAAGGAGCACTGACGCGCGATGTAAGAAACGATTGTTGAGTTAGTTGCAGTCGGATGTATTTTTCTGGTTTAAATGAAATATTTTTTCTCCATTATTGAAGAAAGTAATATGATGTAAAGTACAGTAGGCAAAAAGATTGTCAACTGTCAGGATGGCCGAGCGGTCAAAGGCGCCAAATTCACTTTCTCATGTCCTGAGAATTACCTGAATTCCCCTGAAAATCTTCTGCAAATCTACTTAAATTTACCTAAAAGTGTACTGTAAATCTACCTGAAATTCCTCATGAGCAATTATCAGGGGTGTTGCACCCACCCCCCAATCCCCCAAGTGAGTTCCAAGCAAACATGTATATTTAAGTAATCGGGTGTGCGGGTTGTGATAAGGTGGACTTCAATAATTTGGATTCTTGCAGTTCACTTGTTGGAATTAAAATTAGAATGTTTAGGGTTTGTAATCCAAGTGAGAATATATACATTTGTATATTCTCACTTGGATTACAAACTATTCTCCTTTGGATTACAAAATATATACACAAAATATATACATGTACTATACATTTGTATATT